CTCGTCGCGTCAAGACGAGGAGAGTAAGGCATGCGCTCCTGCCTGAACTCCCTCGGCTATGATGAGACCCTGCGGCTCAGGTCAGACGAGTGAGGGGGAGGTGAACGAGGAAGGGAGGGAAGAAGGAGGGACAGGCGGCAGGAAGAGGCTTACTTGGACGGGATCGAAGTTGCACTTGATCATCTCAACCGCCTGATGTCCGATCCTCACGTTACACCACCTGCTCGGCTCTCAGCCAATCGTTCACCCTCCTCCTCCTCCTCCTCCTCCTCCTCCACCTCCTCCTCCTATCGCCGCCTTAGAGTTTCATTTGATTCTTCTGCTGCTGCTCCTCTGCCCTTCTCTTTCTATCCCCCTCCCCTCTGACCGGGTCCAGTAGGCTGTCGATTCGTCGGGGTTGGCAATGTTGGGAAAGAAATTGACTGCGAAATGAATGAAGAGATGGAGAGCAGAGCAGAGCAGAGGAGAGCAGAGGAGAGCAGAGGAGAGCAGAGGGGACAGGACAGGACAGGACGGGACAGGAGGAAAAAGAGAGGAGAGGAGAGGAGAGGAGAGGAGAGGAGAGGAGAGGAGACGAGAGGAGAGGAGAGGAGAGGAGAGGAGAGGAGAGCAGAGCAGAGCAGAGCAGAGCAGAGCAGAGCAGAGCAGAGCAGAGCAGAGGAGGTATTCATCTTACCCAACGTGTAAAGAACCTGTCCTGTTATCCCTGTAACAAGCGCTCCCTCCTGCCACGACTGATAAAAAAATCGCCTCCTCCTCTGCCTCCACTGCTGCTGCTGCTCCTATTGCTTATCCTGCCCAACGTGCTCGTGCTTGTAATCCTTGTACCCTCCTCTTGCTATGACTGCTCTTGTTATGAATGCTCTTCCTCCTGCTCTTCTTCTCTTCGCTATCTCGTACATTTCTCTCTTACCGTCGCCTCAACTTGCAGCGGGTCCACGAGGTTGTCAAAGGAGATGTCAAGAGACCAGACCATCCTCCCTCCCATCGTGTGCACTGAAACAAGTCAAAGTTAGCACAGGCAGGCTCTGCTCCCCCTTCCTGCTCCCCCTTCCTGCTCCCCCCTCCATTCGTTCTCCTTCCTTCATCTCCTCAAACCTCTCCTTGCTCCTCCTTCGCTCCTCCCTCCTCCTCCTTCTACTCACCAAGAGTTCCTAGGTAGCGAGGTGACATCATGGAGGCGAACGGCATGCTGGAGGCGCCTGGAGGGTCGATACCTCTTGCCCGCTCGAGCTTCCTGGTAGCAGCAGCAGCAGCAGCAGCAGCAGCAGCTGAGCCGTTGAGGCCCCGAGCGTCGGTGACGGCAGCGAGAGCTTGAGAGAGGAGGGAGACACTGGCAAGAGCGTCCGCAAGAGCTTTCTCAGCTCGAGCCGCCTGCTGCAAGTCAAACTCTCCCGTCCTCCTCCTCCTCCTCCTCCTCCTCCTCCTCCTCCTCCTCCTCCTCCTTTTCCCCAACCCCGCCCTTTCCTCTCGTTCTCCTCCTCAGCACGAGTCAGTTGAGCACACCTGCTCACACATGTTGGAAGTTTCGCTCTTTTCAGCCGAGCCTCCAAACAATCTGAGAAATTTCATTGAGAACGAGGAGAGGAGAAGAAACAGGAGAAAAGAAGGAGAAGCAGGAGGGGAAAGAGGGATTGGGGGGGGGGTTGGCGGAGAGGAGGAGGACAGGACAAGGGGATGGAGGTAAAAGTGAGGAGAACAGTGGGAGGACGGAGGAGGAAGAGCCAGACCTTGTTTCGATGCTGAGATGCTCGCTACTGCTCAGAATGTCTGCGCTCAGCATGATTGACGCAAGTTCCCTGAGGACATGAGGAGAGAGGAAAGGAAAAGGAGTGGAAAGGAAAAGAGAGAGAATGGAGAGGAGAGAAGTTCGAGTTGGAACGAGGCAAGGAGGATGAACAGGACGAAGAAGAGGAAAAGAAGGAGGAAGAATAGGAGGACCAAGGGGAAGAGGAGGAGGAGGAGGAGGAGGAGGAGGAGGAGGAGGAGGAGGAGGAGGAGGAGGAGGAGGAGGAGGAGGAGGAGGAGGAGGAGGAGGAGGAGGACCAAAGGGAAGGACAAGGACAAGGACAAGGACAAGGAGTAGAAAGGAATTTCGTTAGCTCATGCCCTTTCATGTCTCGTCCTGACCTGAAAGTCTCCAGGGCTGCCACACTCCAATCCTCGTCATCCTCCGACTTCAGCCCTGAGTCAAAGTCACTTGTAACCTCCTAGGGGGGTCAAGCGCTGCCGGAGATCTTCTCAGCTGGATGTTTGAGGATCGAATTCCCCACCTGCCCGTTTCTCAGCTCCTCAGCAGAAGTCAACTTGCTCACCAGCGTCATGTTCGACAGCTCGGGGAGCTGAGACTCGGACACGCCCAGCAGCAGTGCGACGATCTGCAAGGAGGGTGAGAGGAGGAGGACGAGAGTCTCTCGCCCTACATGAGGTCGACGAGGGTGGCCGGGCCTGGTGAAGTTCCGCTCGACTGAGGAAGACGATCAGTTTGGAGCCTCTCGCGTTCGTTCGCAGTACGAGAGGTGTAGTGCATCTTCCTGGCAAGCTCCAGCTCCTGTGCCCAGGTCAATGCGCCGCCTCCTCCACATGACCCTCACCTGAACGCATCGCGCGTCCAGCTGCCATGCTGGGAGGTGGATGTGAGGGAGCGGAGGGCAAGGAGGGAGGGAGGTCACCATGGTTGACGACAGTCAGGAAGAGATCGCAAGTCTGCACGTGCTTGAGGTCTTGGAAGTTGTGGAAGGCTGGGTCAGCGTCCAGCAGCTTCGCCTCAGAGTGTCCCCGGATCCAGATGTCGCCGATGCCGATGGACTTGAGAAACCTTTCGATCGCAACTGCCATGTCGCTCAGGTCCAGTCAAGCAGCCGCCGCAAGTACGTGCTGACTGCTGAGCATCCCTGTCCTGCTCGGGGTACGAGATGGTGACTCGCTTCTGCCGACCCTCCTCAGGCGTTCGGCTGGTCGCAAACCTTCACAAGCAGATCAGAAGGAGTCGGGCAGAGGATCCGCATGCCTCTCAGAGTGGAGGAGGCGGCGGAACGTGGCGAGGTCCTGAGGTAACGCGCGTCCAGTTAGCGCACAACCTCAAGGCTCCTCTGCTCTCAGCTCCTCTGACCTTCTGCGGAGGCGAACGGGTCGGGCTGTCCCGACCAAGGCGAAGCTTGGAAGAGTCTTGCGGGCGCATCTCGGCGACGAGGTCCCAGTGACTAGAGTCTCAGTCAGCTCAAGAAAAGCGAGAGGAACGAGACCGGGGCTGTCCGGAAGCAAACCGCTCTCCCTTCCTAGAGTTGTCGATCTCCAGCAGCTGCAGCAGGTCATCGCACGCCCTCACAAGCACCTTCGGACCTTCTGCTCTAGAGCGACGTCGAGGTCGGACATCGACCCACCTGCAAGCTGTTGACTTGACATCGAGACTTTTCACTTCGCACCCGCGAAAAGTCCCGAGTGGGTCTGCGCGTTTGCCTGCCCAGCCAGTGATAAAGCGAACGAGTCGGAGGAAACACCGTCACCTTGCCGGGTGTGTAGCTGAACATCTGAAGAGAGGCTTGACAGCGATGATTACCTCCTTGAAATGATCACACGTTATGTGAGAATGAATCAGAAGGCTTGACCGAAATTCAAACTCTGCTGCAATGATGTGTGCATCTATTGTTCTTCCTTCACCTTGCTCCTCTGCCTTTCGTCTCCACATTGATCTTCTTCCTCTTCTTCTTCTCCATCATCTTCTTCCTCCTCCTCTCCCTCATCGTTCTCTCCATCCTCTTCTCCTCGTCCTTGTTCTCGCCCTCGCCCTCGCCCTCGCCCTCGTCCTCGTCCTCGTCCTCGTCTTCTTTTCCTCTCATCAGCGGCTCGCTGATTGGGGATCACTGAGTGAAGCGACTTTCCGACCCCTACCCCTCCAATCAACTCAAGTATACCCACCCTCGAATCGAAAAGAATCCGACGGTTATGGTCAATTGAAACCGTTGTGAAGTTTGACTTTTAATATTGAGTTTTTAAAAACTACGACAGGCCACGGAAAATTGAAAGTTTGACACCCGAACTGACTAGTTTAGGTGGTTAAAATCCGATGAAGTTGCTCGAGTCTCCGTTGGATGAACTGCTGGGTTTCAGTTGGACACGGTGCTGAGCGGCTGTCCGAGCTCCTTCTTCTCCTTCTCCAGCTCCTCGTCAATATCCTCCGAATTGAGTCCGCCGGCCCAGGATCCAAGGGGGATCCACTCGCAAGGGATGTAGTGGAAGAGGAAGTTGATGGGTATCGATATAAACCCCAGCCCTGCGCAGAGGCCCCACTATGAAGAGCAGAGTCAGCAAGGGAGGAGGAGACGGGAAGTAGCGGGGTAGCGGTATTACCTGCCAGCCGTTGAGGGCGGTGCAGCCGAACCCCATGTTGATAGGATTCACTTGAATGAGGATGACCTACAGACAGTGAGGAGCGGCAACAACTCCTGCCCGACCGTCACCTGTACTCCAAGAGTCCCGATGATAACGGCCATGAACATCGGGCTCTGAAGCACGCCTGAAACAAGCAAGTGAGGATGAAGGAGGGGAGGGAGCAAGTGAACGGGACCTTTGAAGACGTTGAACTCGTTATGAATCTTCCTGGAGTTGAACTCGTTGAAAATCTGCGGCAGGAGCCATGAGAGGAAGCATGAAACATGTCGCTCGAGTCTTGCCTGTAAGAACACAAAGGTGTTGAAGACCATTGTCATGTGCTGGGACTTTGACCCGCAGCCGTGCGCATCCATGCAGTAGGAGTTGGAACGAAGATGTGCATACCCGGTGAAGTTGAACTCATTGCTTGCGTCCAAGGAGATACCATTGGATACGTTGTAGAAAGACCTATCAGGTACTCAGATGCAAGCAGAGGAGAGGAACAAGAGCAAACAAGAGGGGGAGAAAAAATGCGGGAAGGAGGAGGAGAAGGAGACGGGGGAGGGGAGGAGGGGGAGGAGGTGTCCTCACATCGGGTTTGAAAGCTGGAAATAAGGAACGCAGTTATGCAGATCAGCCCACTGGTTGTCAAACTCAGGAGGTCTTCCGCTCCTCAAATCAATTTTTGACAGCTTTTTGAACACGGGCCCTTCAGCGCAGGTGTTGACGTCTGCTCCCTCCATACAGATGTCGCCGATGCCGAAGATGAGCCAGAAGAGGATGGCGAGCTGTGTCAGGGCGTGTGCGAACATGTTCTTGACCATGATCTTGGAGAGGATAGGGTCAGTGCGCGGGTAGGGGTTGCGGGAAAGCAACTGCTCCTTCAGCCCTGGAGATCTGTTGGGATCCTCAGTTGAAAGTGCGAGGGAGGCAAAAGAGTCCATGATGAGATTGACCCACAGCAGCTGGATGACTGTGATGGGACTCTCCGTGAGCGTTGCAGCTCCTACCGTAGCGAGGACGCAGGCGACGATGTTGACGGTGAGCTGGAACTGAAGGAACTTGCAGATGTTGTCGTACACGCATCTCCCCCACTTGACAGCTGCGACGATGGACTGAAAGTTGTCGTCGAGGATGACAATGTCAGCCGCCTGTTGTGCCACTTGCGTCCCGTTAATGAACATGGCAAAGCCGACGTCTGCCTGTTTCAGTGCAGGGGCGTCATTGGTCCCGTCCCCCGTCACCGCCACCACCTGCCGCGACTGCTTGACTCCGATCCCCGCGTCAACGGTGATCCTGCTGTTCTGGATGCCCGTCACCAGCACAAGTTTGTCTGTTGGGGTGGAACGCGCGAGGACGCGGAGCTTCGGCCAGATCTTGTCAAACTCGGCTTGATTGATACAACGCTCGGGGTGCTCTGCATTTTGCTGCGTCAGGACCATCTGGCGGAACTGCTCGCCGGTCAAGGCGATCTCCCTCCCTTCTCGCTCTCCTGCCTCCGTCAGGATGTTTGCCTTCCTCGATATCGCCTTCGCCGTGCTCAGGTTGTCTCCCGTGACCATGCGCACGACAATGCCTGCCTGCCTGCAGGTCTGGATGGCACCCGGCACCTCCTCTCTCAGCGGGTCCTCTATCCCCACGATGCAGATCAGCGTCAGCTCGCTCTCTGCGCTCTCCGGCAGCACGCCGTCGCTCTGGACAAGACTCTCCGCGCAGTCCTTGTATGCGACTGCGATGGTACGAAGACCAGAGTCAGCGAAGTTGTCAATGGCTTCCTCGATCCTCTTGGAGACCTCAGGGTTGAGGCTTATGGCCTGACCCTCCTCGTTGCAGTACGTGCTGCAGAGCTTGACCACCATCTCCGACGCTCCCTTGCAGTAGAGGCGGAAAGGAGCAGGAGAGCCCGCGGGCATCGGAACAAACGTACTCATCCTCTTCCTCTTGGAGGAGAAGGTGATGCTCGAACGACCGGGCATCGACTCTGGGAAGCTCTTCCTGTAGCTCTTGTACGGCATACTGTCGCTCCCGGGATCACCCCGGAAGTCATGCAGCAGGTTCACAAACTTGAGCATCGCACACTCCGTTGCGTTCCCGCTGTAGGCCTCCACCACCCTTCCGTCGAGCTTGACGATCTCCTGGACTTCAGCGCCACTCTTGTCCTTTTTCTTTTGTATCTTGGCTACGATGTCCGTCTTCTCGGAGGTGTTGATCGTCATCGCTGCACACATGAGCTCTTTGAGCTTCTCCTTGGCTGACCTCATGGATGAGGGATCGGAGGAGGAGTCGGCGGCCCAGCACTTCATCACAGTCATCATGCTCGTCGTCAGAGTTCCCGTCTTGTCCGAGCAGATGGTCGTAGCCGATCCCATCGTCTCTACCGCGCTGTTGTGCTTGACCATATTCTTATCCGTCATCATCTTCTTCACTGAGAACGCAAGGGCGATGGTGACAGCGAGTGGGAGACCCTCAGGAACTGCCACCACGAAGATGGTGATGGAGATGATGATGAACTTGATCAGCTGCATCCAGTGCCTCGAGTGGTCCCAGGCCTCGTAGCAGCAGTCCTTCTGACCAAAGCTGATCGCAAAGCGAAGCAGAAGAACGAAGAGGATCCCCAGGCCGAACATTGCTCCAACTTTCGTGATGAGTATGGTCATGTCGTCCAGCTTGCGCTGCATGATACTCCTGTCCGACCTGACCACCAGCAGCATCGTCAGCAATGGGAAGCAAGAGAGAAGCTCTTTCTCACTCCTCTTCGTCGTCGCCGTCATCTCTGTCTCCCAAGAGAAGCTGCTCGTAAGTGTTCTTGCCCACAGCTATCACAATCATCTTTCCTTCCCCGTCCTGCACTTGAGTTCCCTTGAACACCAACGGAGTCTTTGAGGGCGTCGGCTCATACTTGTCGCGCATCTGCTCTATGGACAGGCTTGTGTTCGCAGGGAAGAACTTTGTCAAGTCGTCATCTTTGGGAATCTGCACGTTCACATCAGGCAAAACTGATACCAACAAAAGAGACTTGACGACCTCGAAGGTTCCTTTCTCCTTGAATTCATACTGACCCTTACTGATGGCATTCGACTCTCCCGTTAGAGCTCCCTCGAAGATCTTGAGAGTGTTCCTTTCAAACACCAGCCCGTCCGCGCATATGATGTCTCCGGTCGACAGAACAACACAGTCTCCCACAACAACCTCTCTGTTCGATACTCTCACCTGCACACCAGAACGTCAGCGATCAGCCAGTCATCAAGTCAATCTGACCTGAGTCCCATCCCGAATGACGTTGACAAGCTCGTCCGACGCCGAGTCAGTGAGATCTCTGAACTGCTTCTCCTTTGCGCTTTCTTGCGCTGCTCCAACCAGGACGACAACAGCCACAGCCACGAGGATGGCAATCCCGTCGGAGTAGCCGTAACATCTTCGCTCCTCCTCGATACCGAATCCTACGGCCTTGACCGCGAACAAGTCAGTCACCAACCCGGCCCTCTCCAGCTCTCACCAACGAGACAGAAGCAGAGAAGCAAAGGAACTGTAGGGTCGGATCTTGCAACGCTTCCCAACAGAATTTCCAAAAAGGAGTCAGAGGAGGAGGGGCGATGTAGTTCACCCCGAAGTGACTCTTCCGTACGTCTATCTCGTTCGCTTTCACTCCTTCAGCTACTGTTGTCCTCAAGTCCAGTTCGATGCCCTGATATCCTCCCATAGCATCAAGAGCTGGTAGCACCCTCTCCCTTACATCATGTCCTAGCCGATTGTTGATGTTCAGAAGTACAAAGCTTTTCAGATCCTGGATCGAAAGCTTGAATGCCATGCCTGTGAATTTATAGAAATGTTATCGACGCTCCTGGTTCGTGGAAACTAAAGACGTTCTAGACCATCATGGCATCCAGCGTCCTGGTCCAACCCCTAAGGCGAAAGAGACAAGTCAGAGCGACAAGAAGGCTGATAAAGTGAGAGGAGCTAAAGGGATCGACGATCCCACAATTTCACGTTGACGAAGAGCAAGTCGTGGGCAGGAAGAAACCATCGAGCACAAAAGCATTCAAAATGTCGTTTGTGAACTGCCCACTGAACAGCTGGAGAAGGAGAACAATTTGACACTCAGCTGATACCAAATGGAGGGGATAAAGTTACAAACTAGGAGGAGGAAGAAACGATCGCAAGTCCTTTCACAGCAGCAACAAAGAAAATCATCATGATAATCGTCATAATCATGATCATCAGCAGCAGCATAAGATGAACTATCATCATATTCCTTCCCTCTTCCCTTCCTCCTCCTTTCTCTCTCTCTCCTCCTCCCAAACTCTGTGTATCCCATCATTCGCAATGCAGCTCCTAGCCGATTCCATTGCGCAGTTAGGCAGCACTTCACACATTTCCGCTGATGGTCCCTGTTTCCCTCTTTCATCAACATTCCCAGTACTAAACAGCACTAACCTCCCAGAAATCGTGGTCGATTAATACTCCCTCTGGGAAACAGACTGTCGGTTATTCCACGCACCCCACCTACCAACCAAGTCACCGTTCAAAATCTACCCCCTGATTGCACATTGATGACCCTACCTTTTTCCCAACGTTTCATCCTCGAAACCACCCCCCACCTTCCACCGACAAAATTGGCAGTTTGATTTTGTTTTTTTGGGGGGTGGAGGGGTAGTAAAAGGTCTACTCCCCTCTAATGTCCCCCAATATCACCCCCACCCCCCCTTCCACCTTACGCGACCTATCACCCCCACCCCCTCCATGGTGGCATCAGGGGTAGCTATCAGTCTTGACTAGAATACCAGCGGGCTAGTCAAAGGTACCGTACGCCTCCCCCACTGTGACCCCGGGCCCGGGCCCACCCCTCCTACCCACTGCCACCTACCTTCACCCTTAACTTTGCACCCCTACCTGCACCCACCAACCTACACCCACCACGGTACTAGTCAGACCGGGAGTCCGTAGTACAGGCAAATTCCGGCACTCCCCCTCGACGGGACGTACCCCCGTATCCAAGTCATCGGACCGGGTGGTGTGAGCCGGGGGAATATCAACTAGTCTTGTTCCCTGCCTTTACTCAAAGTTAAGTTAAATCTGAACAGCCGTCAGTCCGACTGAGCCGCCTCAGGTGACTCATCGTCAAGGTCACGGGCCCCGGTCGGCCGGGGCCTGCCAGAATCTCCGAGCACTCAGCCTCACTTTTCAAAGTAACTGAAGATACGAGGACATCTGCGAGTCACCAGAAGTTGATACTAGCCTCCTCTGCTGCCCGAATACCCTCATAGTAAATTCACTGAGGTTGGCCCGGATGTTTTCCGTTGGCCATCTGGACTCGAAGGGGTACGGGTGAAAGGTTTGTCGTAAAAGGGTGGGTAGTTAATTGGGCCTTACCAGGGTGAGGGTAGTCCAAGGATGGGGTCAGTAAGATCGGGTGGTTGAAATAATATAACGGAGCGGTTATTACATGCTCGAAATTCGATTGTCATGAAAGAACGAGGCTAAGGAGGACGAGTAGAATGGCAGATTGAAGGAGGGAGGGAGGGAGGGAGGGAGGGAGAAGGAATGGAGATAGAAGGGAGACGAGGATGAAGAATGAGAGGAGGGATAGGAGACAGAAGGGAGACGAGGATGAAGAATGAGAGGAGGGATAGGAGAGGGAAAGGGCGAGTGTGAGTGAGTATAGGGGCATGACGGGACTGGGGACGCCTGACCGTTCCTATGGTTCAGGGAGTGGAGATGCCGGCCAAACTCAAGTTCAAACTTGTTCATTGCTCCAGTGAGGATCCAGAATTTCCGGCAACAGAGCTCAATGCTCACTCTCCGCACACTGTCGGCTGGCAGTCTGCTCGCTTCTGCGACTACCCACAGGAGATTGGATTTCAGTTCTCGTCGACGGTGCACCTGATGCAGCTGCAAGTGCTGTCGCATCAGTTCAAGATCGCTTCCAAGCTGGAGCTGTTTGTGGGTATGCCTGAAGGAGATAAGACGACGTACCACAAGTGCAAATTCAAGAGGCTGGGCTACCTGTCTCTGGACGCCAATGAGCGAAGTTCATGGCAGGCACGAGAGCTGAAGTCTGTGCAGCTAGATGCCTACGGGAAGTTCTTGAAGATTGTCGCACATACATGCCATGCGAACAAGATGAACATCTACAGCCAAGTCGGAATCATCGCCATCAACGTCATCGGCGATGCCGTCGGCAACTCGCCAGCCGCCATCCCCTCGGCTCCCACCCAGCCTATTACGCAGAACCGCAAGGAGATCTCAGCCCTAGATGACGTCACGTTCGACCTCAACTTCGATCCCACCACGGCTGCTCAGATTCGCGAGCTCCACATCGCCAAGGAGCGAGCAGTCAAGGCGGAGGACTACGACGCTGCCAAGAGGCTCAAGGACGCGATCGAGCGGCTGAAGCAGGTGGGGTCAAGGGTGGCGAAGCTGGAGCTAAGGAAGAAGGCGGCGGTGGACAACGAGGACTACGACACAGCTAAGGCGCTCAAGTCTGAGATCGACAAGCTCCGCTCCGGCCTCTCACTCGCTCCTCGTCCTGCCGAGAACGCGAGGGCAGCGCCGGGCGACGGGGGTTACGGGCGAGGAGAAGGTGCAGTGGTAGTGGAGCAGGAGAGCCGGATGAAGCATCTAGGTATGTCCGTGAGCGGCTGAAGGAGGGGAGTTATGCTGTGACCAGGCATGCCCAACGTCAAGAGCCCCTTCGACCAGCCCCGTGTCCTCCCGCACCAGCCCTCCCCGCACAAGAACTCTCCTCCTCCTGCCCACCACCTCGCCTACGGTCCTCTGCTTGCTGTGAGGCCGTAGTGACTGCTGACATGCTGCGGGTGCAGATGCTGCGGGAGGAGAGGAGTGGGACTCTCCTAGTGAGTCGACGCTTGTCCTGTCCTGCCTCTTATCTTGCACGCTCAGGCCGCTCTCGTGCCCCTCAGTCTGTCCATCCATCGCCTCCTGCTGGTAGCGCTCTGCCGTCCCTCCTCGCATGTTGACGCCTCTGCAGGAAATTTCTCTCCATCGGTAGCTGAGCCCAAGCAGCAATTCTACAACCAATACGGTGAGGAGGGGAGGAGGGAATGGGGGGACGGACGGAGGACAAGAAGCGCGAGAGCAGGAGGAGGAGGAGGAGGAGGAGGAGTTCCTTGTGATGGTGTTGGCAGACTCCCCGACAGTGAACTCACGATCACCCAGCTACCCGGTAGAACAGGAGGAAGCGAGGAAAGGCGGGGGGAGGGAAGGAAGGGGGTGCCGAGGGGAGCGATGCAGGGATGAGGTTAAGATTGCGTGTTGCAGACCAACTTAGAGGAAGATCGTGACCCCTCGGGCATCGTACAGGTGAGGAGGAAGGGACGATGGATCGGGGGGACGGAAGGAGGGGGGAGGAGAGAAGCAAGGAAGCTTGGAGAAAGTGAGAAGGAGGAGGAAGCAGAGAGCAGGAGGAGTTCTCTTGCCCTCCTCACAAGCTCCCACCAGGGTCCTCGACGCATCCTCGACCCAGATGCTCGTCAGATCAGGTCCGACTCTTATCGCGTCCTCTCGTCCTCTCACTCCATGTCCTCTTCCTCCAGGGCCGTAGGTGAAGGAAATCTCGATGCTGACAAGGCTGCCATCGCCGCCGCGAACAGCCAGGTACTCCTCCTTTCATCTTCCTCCTCCTTCGCCCTCCCCCTGATTACGGCTCCTCTCCTCCGTTTCCCCTCCTCCAGCCTCCTGACCTTCTTGTTTCTCAGAACGCTCCTCCGGAAGATCTTTCAGGGAACGCGCTGGTAGAAGCTGAGCCCATCATCTCGATCTTCGGTGAAGACGGTGAGCTGAGAACGAGACTTTACACCTCCCTCCCTCCCTCTACCTCTCTTCCTCTACCTCTCCCTCCCTCCCTCCCTCCCTCCCTCCCTCCATCTCTCTCCCTCTCCCTCTCCCTCTCTCTCTTCCTCTCTCTCTACCTCATCTTCTCTCTCTGCGTTCGGCTTTACACCTGTTCTCCTCTCACTCTTATTTCTTCTTGGCAATTTCAGTGGCAAAGTCGATATTGTCTCGGAATTGGCAGCACAGAGATGAAGGATTGAATCAAATCATCAAGGTACCGATCGCCTCCCTCTTGTTCCTCTCGCTCACCTCCCTCTCTACTCCCTCTCTCTCTCCTTCCTCTTCTTCTCCTTTGCTTCCTCGTCTCTCCTCTAGCATCGTTCATCGTTGCCTTGCATTCCTCATTTCGCTATCCTCGCTGTTCCCCCGACACGTGTCCATCTCCAACTCCTCCCAGTTTCCTCCTCCTTTCGTGACATTGTTCACAGCTGCTGCCGGAAGTTCAGATTGTTCAAGCTGCGCGTGTAAGTGCAGTAGGAGGGAGGAGGAGCAACAGGAGGCTTGGGAGGAGGGGAGTAAGGGGAAGGAGTAGGGGGAGCATTGTGGTGGAAGGGGAGGGGGAGGAGGGCAGAGGGTCATTGATGGAGTGGATCCCAGGTGATTGCAAACATTCTCAAACGAGTAGTCACGGACAAGAATCCAACCGTCTTTCTCTCTGCCACTGCGCTGAACAAGGTACGCCATGCCCCCTTCTCCCTCCTCCTTCTCATCACTCTCCTCCTCCTCCTCCTCCTCTTTCCTTTCCTTCACTGCTCCTCCCAAGTATGACAGCATGTTCGCAGCGATTCTTGGAAGAAGCAGCTGCAAAGAAGGTGGAGAAGCGAGGAGGAGGAGGAGGGACATGGGTGGAGGGAGGGGCTGACAAGGGATGATAGATCGAGCTCAGAGGACTGATGGATAACGTGCTTCAAGGCTTCGTGACCAAACTTGCGGAGCCGAACAAGCGAGTCAAGGATGAATCCATCAACTCCCTTATGTAATCATCCACTATCAACCCCCCCTCTACACCAACACACACACACACACACACAGACACACACACACTTGTCTTCTCTCTCAACACACACACACTTGTCTTCTCTCCCCACTTCTTGTTTGCCCTTCTTCTCCCCTTCCCTCCGTACCTCGACTCTCCCTCCCTCTCTTCCTTGTTACCTCCCTGACTCCTTTGCTCTGTTCCTTGTTACCTCCCTGATTCTTCGCAGAGCCATCGCCCAACAATCGTCCGGCGGCTGCGCTTACGTTGCTCAGTTTCTCCTCAAGTTTCCAAAGCAGCAAGCGCAGAATTTCAAGGTTTGTGACTTTGATGATGGAAGTGATGATGTTTGTGTTGCTGTCGGTGGTGAAACAATGCTCGAAACTTGTTGAGAGTTCCGAACAGAATGTTGAAATCCTTCTAGACTCGGACGACATGATGATGTTGGCTTTTGACTTGACGTCTTTGTCTCTGCATGCATGATCATATGGGGGTTTGTGGTTTGTTGTTGGTGTGGACAGCCTTGCAAGTATTTGTTCTTCTCATCATCATTGCAGCTGATCACGCCAAGACTCGATGCTCTCGAAAAGATGTTCAAAACTTTCGGGGTCTCTTCTTCTCTTCTCCATTCTCATTCCCCTCCTTCTCTCCTCTCCTCTCTTCTCTTCTCTCCTCCTCCTCCTCTCCTCCTCCTCCTCTCCTCCCTCCTCCTCTCCTCCCTCCTCCTCTTCTCTCTGCCAACACCAACACTGCTCTCCCTCCTTCCCCTTCCCCTTTCTGCCATTTCACTTCGCTCCATCCCTTCCAGCCCTCCTCTTCCTCCTTTTCTCCTCCTCTGAAATTTCTGCAGGTCTCACAAGCTAACGGCTTCTC